AGAAGCATTTCTATTCTGTATTAATGTATTGTGATTGTCTTTAGTCTTCCGGCTATTTGATTTTGTAATTTTATCTTCGAACGGGCGGGCATCCGTTTTTCAATTGAAAATTGATGGGAAATCCGGTCCAGCATTTCATTCATGGTGAATCCTTAGAAAGATCTTGTTTGGAGAAGAAAACATGCAATTTTGCAAGCTTTTTCAGTAGTGTTTTTCACAAGCTTGAATTTTTAAAACGGTTTTTTTGGAAAATATCCCATTTTTGGCCCTGGTATTTTTTGGAAAACCTAAGCAACTTAATAAACTGCTCAACAAAATGAACGGTAGCAGCCAAATTTGCCCCAACGTTGGAATTGAAAACATTCTGACTGCTTGAAGCCATTTTGATTCTGTTGGAAGCGTTATTGAACCCCATTTGTTGTTTGTTGATCAATGTTTTTTGCAAAACATTACCATCGCAGATAAATTTTCCACAGGGTGGCAAATGAAAAAATGCAAACATCGGCATGCTCTGAGGTGGACAAGCAAATGGTTTTTTTAGATCTTAACACCAAAAGTTTAAATGTTAACCAAATGGCTCCAAACGGTTTCTGAATTTTTTGACCGTCAGGGTGGTCTCAAAAAATCTACTTTTCGGTCTCGTAACGATAAATTTTCTGCGCTTGTTCCAATTGACGACAAAAATTCCATATACAAGTCAGAATTGCCCTGGAAATTTGGGATTTTGACAAATGTTCAACTAAGTGAATTCGACCGTGAAGTTTTAGGTTTAATATAAGTAAGCTATAAATTTTGAAAATCGGTTCAAGAGACAATAAGACCAATAAGTTTATTTTGTAAGACCACGTTGGAAATAAATGAGACTAGCCAAAAACTCACCACTTTTTTCGAGATCTGTGGTGTTGAAATATAAAAAAAAATGTTTGGCTAACTGAGAGCATGTGGAGCTTTCACCCGTTTTGCATTGTTTCATGTTTTCATCCGTTGGAAAAATAATTGAACGAAATAATGCGTACGGAAATAGAATCGCATCGGACTTATTGCGCAGGTTATACTAAACATACAAAAGTGTTTTAAGGTAAATATTTTGAAAAAAATAGTTTTTGCTTTATTCCGATTTTTCATCGAGGTGTGGCTTGTAACAAACGTGCCACTGATTTTTTGTGTGTGTAAAGTCTAAAGTCTAATCTAAAGTCCGCATCCTTTTTTTGTGTATGTTTTCCGCAAAACAAACAATCGTTTTAGTTGTAGCTTTCGGAACGAAGCGAAAGGCGCAAAGAAAGTAAACATAAACCCGGACTCTGAGCAGTTAAACTTCTATAATGCGATTAACCGAGTTCTAAACTCCGAACAGCTCCTTTTTGTCTTCGTCACATGCACAAGGTTGTCGTGTTTTCTATCTTCGTTCCGCTTGGTGGATCAGAGTAGCCGACCGGACTTGTTTAATAAAGGCCAAATTTTAGAATGGGTCATTTTTGATGATGTAATAATTTACCGTATCAAAAATTGGCTCCTGATTTGCAGTTTTTCTTCTTATTGCAAGCTTTCAAAGCTACTGCAAAGACAAATTGACATTCTAATTGCCAGAGATCCGCAATTTCAGAACAAATTATATTCTGTTCCAATCGGACACTGATTAAATTAAGACCCAGATTATGTAAAATTAATTTGGTTTTCATTGCTCTTTGAAGAAATGTTAAAGTAAAAATCTGAACCCGATCAAAGCATATTTGATTCGTAATAATCGGCTAGAATCGTAGCTAGAATAGTAAAGTTAAAAGAATCCTTCGATTCTACAGATCTCTTCAGCCCAGAGAAGTAAATAATCTTGGCATGTCATTTCTCGACCCCGAAACGACTCTCCGCTTTATATGCTGCTCGTCTCTACTTTTATCGGTTCCAGTGAAAACTCGGCGAAAATCGTTTGTCTTTTCTTGTCAACGTGACGTGTTTTTTGAACCTGAAATTTTTTTTGCTCAGTGAAATATTCCAGATACTAAAATTGATTTGATATCGATGTATTTACGAGATTCTATGAATTTTGCAAATGTTCTCATTGTTGAAGATTTATTAATATTTTATTTGCACTATCAAGTTCTATTTTTCTGATCGAACATGTGACAACATTCTCAATGGCTTTTTTCTCCACTTGATTTTGCTCAGGTTCTGTAGTTTTCACATTCAACATTTAACAGCGCCTCTCAAGCTCAATGTTTTCAAGTATGTTTTCCACCTATGGAAAGAGTAAATCCTGGTTGGTACTTAAATCGATAATAAAGCACTAGCGAACTTCCTAACGCATTGAACCCGGTTTCAGCGCAACGCTTTGGCTTTTGAAATATTTTCTTATCATCACTAGCACTTGGGAGGAATGGAAAATTATTTTCATCCAATTCTCTCTGGGTCTCTCGTTAATCAGCAACTCGACAAATTAACCATCTCATTCAATCAACAGGCAGCTCGTTTTCAAGTACCATAACCAGGCGCATTTAACAATGCAACAATTCCTCATTTTTTCACATACATATTTTTATCGAACATATTTGAATTTCCGATTTGTCTGTGACATAATCATTTCCATCAGTGCCATCTAAGTATAGAAAATTGAAAGAAAAATTGATTTTCTAATCAGCCTTCTGGTTCGCAACGAGCAAATAGATTTTAATGCATCTTTTCTATTAAAAAATCTTATTTGTTCTGAAACGTTTCGTTATCAAAGTAGTTGGCCAAAAGAAAACAATAATGCACAATGAGTACTTTTATATTTGGACCTTTATGCATTATTGAGTTTGCAAATGTGGACTACTTCTTTTGGACCAGCGGAAACCATATTTCGTGTAATAATAGAATTATTTAAAGAGCATTAGTTCAAGTAACAGTGTTGTCCAAAAAAATATTATGAAAAACTGATAAGTGATTTTAATGGTCACAAGCCACTCAAGTTAGGCATAAGGAATTATATTTAAAAGAACCAATTATGTCTGTCTTAGAATCGTAACTAACTAGCTTTATTTGAATTCAGGCTTTGCCATCATTAGGCGAGAATGATGCACTCTCAACTGCAATTAGAACATGTCTAGGGAACTTTGAAGACATTCGGGACTATTTGGTAAGACATCGTGTCGCTCCCATTAAATCTGCTCCTCGGATGGGACCACCGCTTCCACCTCCATCTTCAGCTGTTCCACAACAGTATCACCTACGTCCTCAATTACATCAGCAACAACGCAGCCAACCGCGCCAGCCCCAGCATCAACCACAGCATCAGCAACATCATGTACCTCAGCATCAACTACAGCACCATCAAAATCACGTCTGACCGCGTTTACAACAACAACATGCCAGCACAAGGTAAGCTCAAAGTTTCATGCTCTGACAGCATTCGTTTCCTTCTCCTTGCTGAATAATTTAATACACTATAATTTTTAATTTAATACCTAGCAAACATGGCTTAGCCCTATTATGTGTTAAAGTCCATGCAACATTGAAACTTTTTAAAGAGAACCTTGATTAAGTTTTCAAGAATAATATGCGAATCTCAATTCCTCCCCAAATGTTAAAACTGAAAGTGAAGATATTCTTGCGAAATCTTCATTCCAGGCCACTTCGTTTGGATTTCATTAGATACATTAATTTGATTGCAGCTCACGATGCTTGAATCAGTGCACTTTTGCAGTCGGAACTGAGAAAACATAAAAAGTTAAACACATTTACGATCTAGTATTTTCAGCATGCCTGCCAAAAAGTTCACTAAAATGCACGAATTAAATTAAATGAAAACACAATAATCAAAGGAACGCACTCAAATAAAAACGTTATATAGCCACTATTAATAACAAATAATCTAGTACCAACATTAAACACTAAGGTAATGCAGAGCTTTACCTTCTCATGCTTTTACAACCCTTATTGCTTGTTGTTGAGTGGAGTTGTTGAACGCACACGTTTCCAAAACCGGAGTTCCATGATTTTTTCGTTGGTGATTTAGTAGTTAAATTTCTCTTTGATCTGTAGGACATGACAGCCCCATTGCCTGTTCCCGAACAAAAGACTGAAAACAAACCTCAGCGAGAAGCACAATAGGACAGAAATGCTAAGCCAAACAGCACCTCGGCGGTGAGGAAAGGGTTTTAGTGGGTAAACAGTTAGCTGGAGTCACACTGCCCAGAGCGACTGCGTAACAGCATTTCCTAAACCTCACAGAAAAAAAAAAAAAAAGAAACCTCATTGAGCGCCAACAGCAGAAGACGAGTTAAGCGACGATTTCTTTAAATCATTACACAAATGTAAAAATGTAAATAGGAGCAGATTTCGAGCCGATTTCACAATTCCGATGCCAAAGTTTGGGTTCTAACAATTTTTTCATAGGAGAAATTCTACGTTACATTTTAAGCGGCAAATTACGAATGTTCTAGATTTAGAATACTCGACTTTAAGATAAGATTATGTTTATATTTATACAGGGTGATTCAAGGGCTACTAGGGGCTAACTTATAAAGTACGAGGAAAATATTAAATATTTTTTTTCGATAATTTTTACATACCTACTTATAATACATATAATAATTTTTTAATAAGAGCTTAAATTAATAATCCTAGAAAGCAGTTAGCATGGAGAATGCGATGCTATGGCATACGAATGCCGGAGCTGAGAAATTGTTAAAGAGGACTTCAAGTTTTAAAGGATAACTCCCGAAAACTCGTAGTACAAAAAGGGTTTTTTTTAGTTGGTAAGAATTCAACACTACCTAGGGTTCGGAACACTCGGTGCCTTCGCGAAAATTGTTTATTCCTTCGGCCGCCGGGCAAACAAACAAAAAAAAAGATCTTGTTGTGCATTTACCATTTATTCATGTCTATTTTATTGTCACTTTCAGTATAATTATATTCTTTTCCTTCCTGGGTTTTAGTCAGTGTGAAATAAAAATGTTTATATTTTTTCAACTTTTTATTAGACTGAAACCCAGGAAGGAAAAAATATAATAACAATTACACGCAGTCTTGAAAATACATAAAAAAAAATCTGTATAATTTCTATTATGATATTCTGGAAGATCAATTAGTTTCGGGTGTAAAAATAAACACACGTGTTCTTCGGTATCTGAGAATAGACTAACTTTATTGATAATGAACAGTGTTGCCAAGTCGGCATTCTCCAGGTGAAGCCACAGAAGGTAAACAGAAGTCTTTTGGACTACAATTTAAGACCCCCACTAATCCAAAAAAAATTATTCCCTTCTTCGTTTACATATATGATTCTAAATGCTAAACATACATCTGAATGAGAACAACTCAAGTTTTTAATGTTACACCTAAACAATTTAAAAACTTGTAATGCTTGTTATTACTTAACGCTTTTGTCAGAACATCTGCTGGCATTTCATTAGTCTGCAGGTATTCAGTTCTAACTATTTTATTAGCAATGGTTTCTCTTATAAAATGGTAGCGTATATCTATGTGCTTAGACCGTTTGTGAAACATGGGATTTAAGGAAAATTTTAATGCACTTTGACTATCACAATACAAAGTAATACATTCGTTACGACCAGTTAATTCGCACAATAAATTTCTCAAAAACATTGCCTCTTTTGAAGCCTCGGCCAAAGCCATATTCCGCTTCCGTACTGGAAAGGGCAAGTCTTCTGTTTACTACTTTCCCAAGATATTGCACAATTTAAAACAGTAACCTGTATATGACTTACGGTCTAATACGGTACTTCCCCAATCAGCGTCAACAAACCCTTGAAGAATTTTGGCGTTTTTACAAAATTTTAGACTTGCTTGGCAATGAGTACTGTCGAAACAATTATTAAATTGGCTTAAGTAACTTACACTATAAGAAATATCTGGCCTTGTCATAACTAATAAATACATAAGGCCGCCAATTAATTGTTGATATGGTACATCTAGAGTTGAAATTTTACATTTAATTAAATTTAAATTCTTTTCCATAGGCGTATCTACTGTTTTACAATCAGACATGTTAAACTTTTCAAGTAATTCTTTGATATAATGTTGTTGATCTAAAGTAATAACACCGTCTGATTTACTAATATAAACATTCATCCCTAGAATCTGTTTTGCCTCCCCTAGATCCTTCAATTTAAAATTTGCAGTTAATTTTTGTTTAAAGTAATAGTTTGTGACCGATCATTAGACAAGATAAAAAAATCATCAACATACAAACCGATCACGGTCATTAAACCATTATTTAACTTTATAAATACATAAGGTTCATATTGCGATTTCTTATAACCTATATCATTCAAAACATTTTCAACTTTTTGATACCATACAGGAGAAGATTGTTTTAATCCATAAATCGCACCATTCAACTTTAATACTTTATTCTTATAATTACGATTTAAAAAACCTTCCGGTTGTTTCATAAAAATTGTTTCATTCAATTTTGATCAAAAATATTTCTTCTTCTTTTTCAAAAATGAATAATATCTAAATTTAGCTCTACAGACAAAGCAATTAATAAGCGTAAACTTGAGTGTCTTACCACAGGCGAAAAAGTTTTATTGAAATCTACTCCTTCTCTTTGCGTAAACCCCTTTGCTACTAATTTAGCGCGGTAAGTTTTATTGTCTTCAATGTCCCTTTTAATCTGGAATACTCATTTGCACTCCACGGCTGCGGCACTATCAGGTAAGTATACATAGTCCCAAGTTCCATTCTCCTCCAAGTTTGCAATTTCTTCAGCCATCGCTTGCTTCCATTTGCTTGTATCTGGGCTTGATAGAGCATCATTTACACTAACTGGATCCTTTACATGCGTTGAAGAGTTATCCTTGACTGTTCCCGTCGCTGCACCAAGATAAGTGACATAATCACTAAATTTATTTGCCTTTCTTTTTCGTTGAGATCTTCTAACCGCAATTGTATCATAATCAAATTCCTTATCCGGTAAATAATCAGGATCGCTCAAGTCTTGAGATTCATGAGCATTCTGGAACGTAGTTTCATCCTCTGCTTGACGTTCTGTCAAAATTTCTGCAGCACTGGTTGAAAGCTTCTCCCCCACTGAATGTAGATCTTCCTGATGTTCAATTATTAATTCGCAATCAGATTTAAATTTTGAATTTTTGTGAATAATAACATCTCTGCTTGTTGTTATTTTACTACTTCGCGGATTGTAAATTCTATAACCTTTGATAACTTCTGAATAACCCACAAGTATTCCTTCGTAAGACTTTTGTCAAATTTGAGTCGTTTGCTTTTTGGTATGTGAGTCATAACTCGACTTCCAAAGATACGTATATCAGTAAGATCAGGTTTATTTCCATGCCATAGTTCATACGGTGTTTTATTTGAGCCGCTAATAGCACTCCTGTTGCGTAAATAATTTTCAGTATTTACAGTTTCTGCCCAACATTTCTTTTCAAGCTCACCATCAAATAACAGGCATCTTGCCTTTCCTACTAGAGTACGGTCAAGTCGCTCAGCAAGGCCGTTTTGCTCTGGAGTGTAGGCATTTGTTTTTTGGTGAATTATTCCTTCTTCCTTCAAGAAATTCTCGAAAACACTCCCACAAAATTCTCCTCCTTGATCAGTTCTAAAGTACTTAATTGGTTTACACTTTTGTTTTTCAACCATTAACTTGAATTCTTTAAAATATCTAAAACTTTCGTTTTTGTTCTTCATAAAGCAAACAAAAGAGAATCTACTATAATCATCAACAAGTAATAAGAAAAAACGTGAACCGCCAATTGATGGAGTTTCAATCGGTCCACATACATCACCATGTATAATTTCAAGCACTTGGTTACTACGTGTACTTTTGTGCAAAAAAGGAAGCCTCGTTTGCTTACCTTCACAACAAGTGACACAATTTGATTTGTTTATGTCTATTTCTTCACTCAAAGTTAATCCATGTACGGAGTCCTTCATTCTGACTAAATCTCGACTATTTATATGAGCGAGTCTTACAGACGAGTAATAATACAGACATTTCTTTTGAGCTTCAATTTATAGACACCATCAACCAAATCTGCTGTAGCAATCAATTGGCCTGTTTTGTTGTAAATCGTACATCCAGAGTCATGAAAAACTACTTGATTTCCCCTGGAAACTAGCTGACTTACCGATAAAAGGTTGGTTGAAAGTTCTGGAACAGACAACACATTTTCCACTGACACTTCGTGACATTTTCCAAAAGATTGTGTAATTATCTCAATGTTCCCGGAACATTTCCCTTGCAGCTTTTGTTTGTTTGCAACTATAATTTCTGAAATTATTGAAGGCGAAATATTCTTTATCCAACTTTCGTTTGGTGGCATATGGTTACTTGCTCCTGAATCCAAATAAAAATGTTCCTTACTGTAGTTTCCGCTCAGGAACACAGCACTAAAAGCATTTATCTTTGACGATTTCTGGTTAGACTTGCATTGTGACATGTAATGACCTGGTTTTTTGCACTTATAGCAAATTACCTTGCGTTTGTTCCAATGTTTATTTACATTTCGACAGTCATGACTTCTGTCATTTGTCTTTCTTTCGTCATTGCTGGCGTTATCTCCCTTGAACTGCTTTTGTAAACTGTCATGTTTTGCTGCAAAAGCACCTGTTCGAGTTCCATCAGAGTCATCTGCCGCCCTATCAAGTAACTTGCTTTTTATGGAATCTGCGCTTATGTCTATTCCTGAATGTTCGATAGCCATTATCATAGGTGAATATTTATCAGGCATTCCCGCCAAAAGAAGAGACCCAACCCATTCATCGTCCATTTTGAAACCGGTTCTCCGAAGTCTCTGGGCTGATTCAATTACCTGGTTCACATAATTCTCCATTGACTGGCAGTTGTCGAGCCTCAATGAGATTAGGGATCTCAGCAATCCTATTGTTCTTGTAAAACCAGTGTCTTCGTAAAGGCTTTTGACTTTCTCCCAAACTTCTTTGCACGTTTTTGCTTCTTTAACATGGCCGTATAGTGACGGATCTATAATCAAAACCAATTTAGCTTTTGCTTTCGCTATCAGCACCGTATCAGTCTCACTACCGTCCACACACTTTGTTAAACCTTCTAAAACGAAAACGTTCTCCATGGCGAAACACAAATCCTCATAGCTTTCGCGTCTGATTAAGTACGCTACACTATTTAGATAGTTCACAGCCATTCTTACCGAAATTCTGAACAGCGTGGTAACGAACAAAAAACTCGCTTTTAGTCGTTGTCTTCACCCCGGAAAAAAAAACTAGTCGATTTGTCCTGGGCCCATAACCTATTATGATATTCTGGAAGTTCGATTAGTTTCGGGAGTAAAAATAAACACACGTGTTCTTCGGTATCTGAGAATAGGCTAACTTTATTGATAATGAACAGTGTTGCCAAGTCGGCATTCTCCAGGTGGAGCCACAGAAGATAAAAAGAAGTCTTTTAGACTACAATTCAACAATTTCATGGAGATTTTCATACTTGCGAAGCAACAGGTATTTTCGTAATGTTAATAAGGCAGATTACCTTGAAAAACATTCTTGCCGTCTTTCTGATATTATTAGGGTTAACTTTAAGGAAGAGTACGATCGCTGTAAAATTCAATAATTTTAATGAACGGTTTGCACCGTCACCATCAAATGAATAATAGATAAACCCTTCGCAACGCCACCAGTTGCTTTCCCCACAGAATATCCCTCCAGGGATGTTCTGTGTTGTTGCCCGGAAGTACCGCCGCGCCGTCGCATGTCCCAGCCATAAAGTAGCCACGATGTTGCCACTCCCGTCCTAGGTGTCTCCCGCCTACCAGTGTTGCCGCTCTCGCTGTGGTTGCTCCGTTTTCCCAGGTTGCTTGCAATATAGTTTTTTGCAAATATCTCCGTAGTTAATGACAACACGTCCATAGGAAGGCGCAAATTTTGAATCACCCTTATTAACAACGAATTAAACGAATTTTCTTGTATTTCTTATTCAAACCATTATGTTTCAAATCAATCAAATATGAAATGCATTTAATAATTGCAAATCTTATAAGTTGTTTTTACTTGATTTCAGACTCTAACTGATAGTAGGACCTCACTGCCTCTCGAAAAACGTAAGTTTTATAAGTTTTCTGTTTTAGAATATTTCTCTCGATAGACTCTCTCTCTTTCTCTCTCTTTCCATAGACTCCACAAAACAACCTGGTTGGTACACAAAACAACTTGGTATTGCGGCGTAAATTAAGTAAGTATTAAGTATTCTTTTACGCCGTTTTTCCATAACGGTCATTTCTTTTGCCACAATAATTTTTGATTAACGTATTGGAGATACTGCTGAGGAAAATATCAGTAACTACCTTTGGAGAGTGTGTATTGCAGCCGTTAAAGTAAATCAGATGTTCTTGTTTCAGCAGATATTTATAAATTAAACTACATAGAAATGATTTTTGTGAAAAAATGTTTAAAAACTCTCTTCGGAGTATTAAGTAACTTTTGAAATATGATGTATGGGCTACTTGAACTACAGATTCTTTGGGATAGAGAAGTCCACCTCGATTTAAATTATTTATAAGTTTAAAGTTGTCTTCCACAATCAGTTCTTCACCTAGGGTTAATAAATGTTTGCAAGAGCTGCATTTTACTTTACTTAAAACAATACGGCAGCAATA